GTCCTAAACTGAATAAAGTGTCAAAGAATAAAATAACTGTCAAATGCCCAAATTTTTTATTGTTATGATTCATTTCTACTTCAGTTAATTTATGAACTAATATTAATAATATATATAAAATAAATTAAATAGAAAAAATTTTAATGCAAATAATATCCAATGAAAGGGTTCAAGAGTCAATCACTTAACTCTTACTCACAGTGAAGAATTAACAAACAATAAAATTTGCAGTTGGCTTATAAATAGTCCTCTGAAAGTTGTTACATAGAAAGGAAAAAGTTACTAAAAACTTATCACTTTTCAAGATACAAGTTCAGAAAATAAACAGGAAAGAACTAAAGATGAGGCATACACGTGTGTTGGTCATTATGAGAAAAATTGAAATGACAGACGAGTTTGTCTGTCCCTGTCACTATTCAACTCTAGATCTTTTGAATGGAATTGCATTATTGGTGTGCATAAGATAGGCTACAACACAACTGAATCAAAATGTCAGCATGGACCGGCAATAGACCACTGAGGGTTCAATATACTTTACAGCTAACTCAGGATTATCATGGAATGTGTGTGTGTGTGTGTGTGTGTGTGTGTGTGTGTGTGTGTGTGAGAGAGAGAGAGAGAGAGAGAAATGGATCATATGAGCAGCAATTATGTCTCCCCACAGTTCAAGAGATATACAATGGTTGGTTGATTCAAAGGTTTGAAATACACCAGCTAACATGTTTGGTTACAAGTGACAAATGTGGTATTCAGCAATAAATTCTGCTTCTACTTGAAGATTGATGTCTGTTGGTAATATGTCTGATAGTAGTGAGAAGCCTCAGTGTACCTTCTTGCAGAATGTGCCATACAAGCCAATGTCTGGAGTAATGATATGAGATGCCATTAATATGACAGATGATGCCATTTGTATTTGTCAAAGATGCAGAATTACAATTAGTTTACAGCTTAGGTAAATTTCCTCACCTAATGTTTATGTGATCTATGGCACATGATAAAATTTTATTTTAACTGCTGCTTTTATTCCTGCTACTGCTATAATGCAGTGTCATCACGGTATAACTTTTTCATACCATCTCATGTCATAATGAATATGTTCAGTATTTACATAAAAATAAAAAAAATTAAAAACTGCTTCAGTCCTCATGTAACAAAACCTCAGTCCAATCAGGTAAATGAGACTATCTTCCCCATCTATAGGTAGCTTTACTTTTTTTCAACATTAATTAAAAGCTTTTTTTTATTCATTAAAGTACATCAAATTTATTGCATAATTTTTAATGTAAATATATATTATTTTCTTATGTGTCTCTGATTTTTTCTGTTATTCTGTATATTCTGAGTTTTATATAATTTGAGATGGTCTCAGTCCTGTTCACTTCAAATTACATTATCCAACATAATTTTTACCATGGAAATAAAGGCATTTCTTTATTAATTCTAATGCCTGCATTTCAAAAATTGGTAAAAAATGTCATATCACACCACAATTTTCTGATATTGAACTCTGTACACCAGATATCTGATTTACCAATGTAACACCACCGATATTAGGAATTAATACCATAGGATATACTATATTTTCAGTGAAATAAAACAAGCAGGAATTGAAACATGAAACTCCTAACTCATGTTCCTAAACTGAATGTATTGTTTAAAGAACTTAAACTAAAACTGAACATCATTGCTAGGTTTTGGAACAGTTTGTCAAGATTCCTATGAAATGATATTCAAATAAAATTAATCTTTATTTAATCTCCACAATTTAATAAGACTCTATAGTAGCTGTATTTGGACAGACTACAGTAATTTTTGCTATTTGAAACATCAAGTATAGTCTGATCTAATTATGATCCATTGGGCACATGTGAGATCTGATTAAACACTAAGACATCTGATTTATAACATTGCTGCCTTTGAGTGAAGGCATGGAGAAGACTTAGCAAAACATTTAACGAAGACATCATACAACATCTGTATGATGGGATGCCCCAATGTATTGCTGCCTGTTGGCAATAAGAAAGTGATTATTTTGGATATTGATCCAAACTACACCACATCACATTTGAAGTCTGTCCAAACCTAAAGGTCGATTTTTTGATCAATTATCACTGATGATATTCTTCCACTGTACCACATAAATATCGACAGGTATAGTTAGTGTTGCAATTGTCATAATTATGTGTCTATATAAAATTTATTAATTCATTTGAAATCTCAATAAAATTTATGTGAAACAAAAATCAGCTATTATTATTCAGATCATGTTACTTTATAGTATTTAAACTTTTTTATATAATATATTTAAGATTTTACATTACAATTTTATTTAGATTAAAAAATATTCTAATACTTTGAATAAACTGATAAAATTTCTTTTTGTTCACTGCATTTAAACTTAACTGACTGACTATTTATAGTATCAATTATAAGAAGAAAAATTCTAGTAAAAATAATATTATTTAAAAGAATATAAATTTACTGTAAGTATATTAGCACTAATAGCATTTCTATTGCACATTGCCAAGCAACCTGAGTAGTTTTTAACTTTTACAATCCATTACTATCTTTCACTCTTCAATCTTATAAGACTATATTAATATTTGTTTCCTACATTCCTAACTGTATTCCTTCATTTTTATAAAGTTCATTTTCACTAATCCAAACTAATTACATCTAATCTTAATAATTCAAAATTTCCAGTAATCTGAAAATTTTGAATTAGTAAGATTACATAAAAAAAAGGAAGTCAAGAAAAACTATCTACATGAGCAATTTGTAAAATTAATATGTATATGTTTTTAAAAAATATATGCTATTTCATTTTGGCTGAAACATTTAACAGCAAAATGGTTATAATTAAGTATTTAAATAATCACATTGTTAATACTTTTTATTTGAACTGAAATAATAGTTTTGCTTGTTTTAATAATGTATGAATATCTTAACCATTTTAAATTTAGTTGTAAAATACTTTTACAAGAAAGTAAACCATGATACATTTTTTTTTTCTTGGATGAAATGTCACATAAAGTAGCAAACAGGGAAAGTATAATGTAATTTTTCCACTTTTCCAATTTTTTTTTTCTTAAACTCCTCATTATTATTCACTCCTTTTCACTTTCTCTAGAGCAGGGCTTCCTAAACTTTTTTTATTCACAACCCCATTTATGATTGTGATTTTTTTCGCGACCCAAAAAATATAAAGATATATACAAATTTGCAAAAACAATAATGGTGTACTACCACAGTTCACTCTTGTGTTACAATAGAACAGAAACAACTGAATACACTGAAAAGCGACAATAATACACCAGTTCACACTACAGTCAATGTTGCTGAATCGTTGTCTCGATACACCAGAAGTGCAACTCACGAAACCTATGACACAAAGCGTGCCATTTTCAAACTCTCACAAATTATTTTCAATATTTTGCATTAAAATCTCACAACCCCAAGATTTCGCTAAGCGACCCCAAACGGGGTCGCGACCCATAGTTTAAGAAGCCCTGCTCTAGAGGATGATAACTTTTCAGTGAATTATTATAAATACATAAGACACAAGCATATAAATTAATGAAAAACGACCATAATTTATGTTATTCATGATGAAGTAACTAATAGTATGTTATATATCATCAGTTTTGTTAACATTTGTAATGAATTATGATTATCATCATCTTACACTAAAAAGCAATGCTACAGAATTTTAAGTTTATAAATCTATATTACTTTATACTTGTGAAAAAATATGGATCCAAGGAACAAATTATACTTTTAACTATTAAAAGTAATGGTTGTACTGGTTCTGATTTATAAGAATTCATTTTATTAGAAATTTTCAGGAACTTATTTTCAGGTATTCACTCTCATTTCAGAAGTATCCACTCATTCTAATGATATCATGCAATTTAGTAAACTTTATTTCTACATTGCAAACCCTTAATGGTTATATTATTATTAATTAACAAATAATTTAGTTCTATTTTATTTGTATTCTATTTAATTATTGCCTTAATTAACTTTTGATTTCTTATCATTAAATTAAAAAATATCTGATAGCTTAAGTATTTTTTTAAATTTCATTCTATTGTTTCATTGATGATGGATAAATAGGTATTTCACAAGATTTTAATGCTATTTGAGAGCGTAAGTAAAATGACTGAGATATGTTGGAATGAAGTACAAATTTTTTCCTAAGAAATAATGAACAGGTAAGTCTCTATTGCAAGATTTTAATTTATGAAGATTGTTCCTTATTCCAGCATTTTACTTATGTTCTCAAATAGCTGTAAAATTCTTATCTTCAGTATTCATTTCATATAATTCTATAACAGCATATCAATAACATATATCATATATAAAAACTCATATTATTCAAAATCATCTGGTTGCTTTATTTTTTGGACAAACTGAAAAAGCTAAATAATTACATTTCATGAAGACAGAAGCAATTGTATTATGTTTCTAATAGGTCAAATGAACATGTTTTTGATGTAAACTATATATAGTAACAGTTTAAATTATTAGCAATTTAATTATTTACAATTATTTAAATTTGTAAATAATTCTAATGATATATAAAGTCTAGACAATTTAAATACTGCAAAGAATCATAAAAAAAACTATATTTAATGATTTTTAGGTAAAAAAATCATTAAATATAGTTTTTTTATGATTATATATCTTTAGTAGAAATGTTTTTTTAGGTAAAAAAAACATTTCTACTAAAGATATATAATTATAAAGATGAAATTGGAAAAGGCTACATTTTTATTATTACTACAGATTGAACAAAATTAGCTTTTAACATTCATATAAAATATTTGATAAAAATAAAAAATTCACTTAATTTGATTTATTATAGATATCGTGTTTTTAAATTGTATCAGCCATAGTTTAGAAGCTATCAACTGTCCTATATAATTAAATAATTTATACAGTAAATAGCAAGCTTCTAAATTAAAACTTTTTATATACTAGTAAATACATTTACATACCTGAGTACATCAGTCGTTAAATTGGAATCCAAGGGATGATAATTACGAATGTGTGGATTTGCATGAAGTAAATCATCAGAACTTTGTTGAACAGATGGAGAGTGTATAAGTAATGCAGACTGCAAAGGAAAAAAATAAATTATTTCATTCCTTAGATTAACTCTCATTAGTTGTATTTTACCAATTCAATGTAAATTTATCAAATTTCATAACTAGAGTCAACTTTATTGTATCATTCAAATAAGCAATCAAAATAAATGATTTAAAAAATATAATTCAGATTTTATTAATATGAATATTTTATATGACATTGTAACTTGGAGGAAAAACAATAGTAATGAACAGAATACAAAATGAGACTGCAAATGATTACTTAAATCTCAAGCTAAGTATTTCATTTAAGCTTACAAAGAAAAACTTTTACTTAAAAAACAAATAAATAATGAATTACTCCTTAGTTTTTTATGAAGATACACTATTATTAGAGATTTATTTTATTAAACAACAATAATATAATTTAGTAACTATGAAACCAAATTCTGGAATATTTTATTTAACTAAAAACATTCCAGTATTTATTAGTAAAAATTTTAAAAATAACTAAGATTGATGACAAATTTCAGTATTATTTATTATTACTAGTATGATAAACTTTGGTAAAATCTACAACTCCCTTATTTCTTTTCAAAATATTTATTTAAAATTTTAAAATAAGAAACAAACACTATATAGTCAATTCTTTATTTGGTACCACCATTTGTTTACCTGTGAAACAGACAGTAAATTGAATATGATGCTAAACCAAAATATCAAGCTCTGACAATAAGAATTATATGTAGTAATGATATCTGCACACAATGTTTAGTTTGGGAGTTTGAAATTCATATGATTTGATATTGTTTACAATGCAAACTAGTACAGTGTCCAGATAGCATAAAAATTTACTAACAGATGATAAATTTTACAAAAATTAAAGCAATATTAAATGAGATTTGCTAACTCCTACATTAGTAAATGTGTGATTTACCTTTATAAAATATTGTTTTTATTGTCATCTGCAAAATAACATTTATTAACTATTAACTAAGAGATACTGAAAGTTGTCTATTTAATACTTATGAGGAAGATTTGTTTGTGAGTATTCATTAGTACTTTATGAGGATAGCATTGTATTAAGATTTGATTATATATAATTTACATTACTTTCTAATAATATATATTGAGTGGCCGAGTTTTGTCATAATAGGAGCTCTACAGTGTCTATCGAAAATAGACAAGTGCCACATTCTCTATTGGAATGCCTACTGAAGAGCTGCACCCTCTGTTTATAAGATTTTAACTATATATACATACATACATACATACATATATGTATGTATATATACATACATACAATTATCACTGTTCTATAGTAAACATCACTGTTACTTTGTTTACCTAGTCATCATAAAGTACCAGTAATCGTTTAACTCCTTTGACTTTATGAATATGATCTAAGCTTTCAATTGCCAGTTCAAGATTAAGTTGTAAGTTTCACTTATCATTTCTATGTATATTATACAATGTAATAGTCAAAAAACTTACAAAAATATTATATAGAGTACACGTACACAATATGTACCAAGTTCATAAAAAGAAACTGTGTGGGATATGGGAATATATGGGAGCAGCAATAAAGGTCTAGAAGAGCCAGTTTGGCCACTCATAATATATATACAATTCTTGAACAAGAAATACTAAACATTAGAATCATTTGATGTAATTATATATATATATATATATTTATTTATTTATTTTAAATTCATTTATGATGGATGATGAAAGGAAAGAAATTTACAGCTTGACTGAATTCAGTTTAAAAAAGGCTAATATTTTCAAATAATATATCATTTGTCATCAGAGGAATTATTGTTAAAAAATTATTAGAGAGTTATGCTTCTGAAAATAATTATACCATTTAAAAAACAAAATAATACAAACCTTTAAAAATACAGGACATACTTCTTCTAAATGTGGACAGGATGACCAAAACCATTTTGGTAAGGGACCTGTTTTTGCAGTTGATACATAATAGCCAAGAGCTAAAGGCTGTTGTAATAATTGTAAAGGTTCTTCTTGGGATTCAACAGTCATTCCACTCAATCCCTACAAATATATTAATAGCTTTGATTAAATTATTTAATGAATATTTAAAAAAATCATTTTAAAGATTTTAATTGTAAAATTAAAATTATTTATTCTCAAAATAAAGGTTTATGACTAAATTTTATATATAATAATTTGAAGTATTTTTTCATCTATTGTTTTAAATATGAATTCACCTTATTATGCATACAAAAACTATAATAAGATTTTAAAAATTATTGGTAAAGTAATTTAAACTGGAATGCTACTACTGAATATGCAAATTTAAATGCAATCATAGTGATTATAATTGCCACTTCTCCAGATTTCATCAAGATTCCCTAGTTTTTGAAGGTTTGGCTCTAAAATCAATTGAGACTTCTCCAGGTATGGAACTGTATTAACAAGTGCCTAAGATGTTGCAGAACTAGCATTTATTATATTGTTACATCATGCACTCTCATGTCAGTTGCACATTGCACATGTCTTGTTGTAGCAAGTTTCTAGTTGAATCATTTTGCAAAAGTTTATTTCAGAAGCCCAAGTAATTATGAGAAAAGAATAAGAAATGAAGCTTTGGTTATCAGAATTAGCCATTACTACAAAAATGTAGCTAACTATAATAATTTAAGACCTATCTTCACTTTGCATAGATAGATCATTTTGCAACTTCTTATCATATTATTATAAAAACATTGAAGTGCTGAGTATATGATGATGTGCAATTATCCATTGTTCAAAAACAGCCAATGAAGTTATCAACAATCTCTCAAGTGTTTAAGCATAATCCAAACTTATTAGAGCACTATGCTGGTAATATGATTAGCATTCTGTATCAACCAAAAATATTTGTTAAAGATGAACAAGTTAGTAATAAAATCTACTGTTAGAAGTATTTTATCTACTTACAACAAAGACTAGAAATAGTGCACAAAAACAAACCATCACAAGTATATTGAAAAAACAAGCACTTAAATTCTGGAAAAATCATTGTGCTAGATGACAAAAGCTGAGTGCCTGTTAACCTAAGTAATACATTTAGCAAAGAAATAATACCACTACATTAATAAAACTGACACAATACAGTATAATCTCTGAATAGTGGACACCATCAGGACCAAGAAGTTTGTCTACTATTTAGAGGTGTCTACTATTCGAAGGTATATGCCAGTGACCATATTGTATTTTAACATACAGTAAAGAATACAATAGATTATGAAAACATAAAATTTGCATTAGGAATGTAAATATACTGAAAAGTACATGTAGCATAATGTGAACATCATCATTACCAGTGTGTTTTGTAAAAAGTTGTATACACCTCTTATTTATGTATGTAGCATATATAATAAAATATATACATTATACAGTAAAGCATTGATTATCTGACTCAATTGGGAACTCAGGTTGGTTGGATAACTGAAAAAAATCGGATAACCGAAAAAGAAGAAAAAAATACATTATTAGTATAGTATATTAGAATATTAGTATATCCCATGTAATTAGTTTATTAGTATATCACTATTAACCAACTTTGCGTTGAATTTTCATTGATGTTTAGCCTAACAAATTTTTTCTAAAATAATAATCGTCGCTATTGTATCGTTAAAAATTATTTTTAAATTATTTTATTGCTCACAAAACAAACAACCACTCATAATTAGAAAATTAAGTCTCGTTTAAATATTGGTCTCCCTTCAATGGTCGAGCCGTTGATGCCAGCTAAAACACGCAAAAATTTAACAAAAATAATATTAAAGTAGCCAAGACATAGCCAAATATTGTAGTGCCACATCACTAGCGGACATTTGAAATTTGCTGACTAGAACGATCGGTTAACCGATGTGACGGTTAATCAGGGGTCGGATAATCGATGCTCTACTGTATTATTTATTTTTTCAGCTGTAAAAATCTCATTTTAATTGAATTTCATTCAAATGTCAGGTTAAGAATTCAGATTTCATTCAAATGTTTGGGTTAAGAATATGCAATTTGCTTCAAGGAGTGGGAAATATATTTGGAATTGTTACATTTATATCATCATTTATGATCTAAGCAACTAATAAAAATCAACACAGGGATTTGTCTGCTTTGTAGTTATCAAGTAGGTGTTACTTCTCAAACATTTTTTGCTCTTTTCAATAACTGATTTATTAAATTATTAAAAATTACACTTTAACCACCACAAAGCTGTTAAAACAGTTACAACAACACTGTTTGTTTGGTGAAAGTTCAAAGGTTGTGTGCAATTTGCCAACCACTTTAAAATGTGCAAAGATATTCAGTTTTCTTGCATTTATGATCTTAAGTTTCTTTTTTCATTACTACCATACTATGATTCTTGCTGAATGAAACTTTGGGAAAGTTTATAGTTTTTTGATATCATAAGCTTAATTCCAACATTAATATGTATAATGATAAATGGTGATTGACAACTTAACCAGATTAAATTTCTCTAACAGATAAAAGAATATTGTTTGACTTCTTATAACATGCTCTCCTCCCCTATTCCTATTTTAAGCCAGTCTTTATATGATGCCTGTGGTCAAAATTCATCGTCTGAAAGAGTATTTCAACCAATTTGTTGTTTTTGTTTTAAAGTATTTCGTACATAATTAATTCTTTCAGAATATTGAAGGTAGGACTTTACATTTTTTGTAAGGTTGGGGATAGATGACAGCATCCATTATTTAGAGGTAAATATTATAAATGTCCTTTTTGAAGGGTCTAGGGATTGTAAAAATGTCCATTAAGTAGAGGTGTCTGCTATTCAGAGGTGTTTGCTATTTAAAGGTATATGCCGGCAGTGACCATATTGTATTTTAACATACAGTAAAGAATACAATAGATTATGAAAACATAAAATTTGCATTAGGAATGTAAATATACTGAAAAGTACATGTAGCATAATGTGAACATCATCATTACCAGTGTGTTTTGTAAAAAGTTGTATACACCTCTTATTTATGTATGTAGCATATATAATAAAATATATACATTATACAGTAAAGCATTGATTATCTGACTCAATTGGGAACTCAGGTTGGTTGGATAACTGAAAAAAATCGGATAACCGAAAAAGAAGAAAAAAATACATTATTAGTATAGTATATTAGAATATTAGTATATCCCATGTAATTAGTTTATTAGTATATCACTATTAACCAACTTTGCGTTGAATTTTCATTGATGTTTAGCCTAACAAATTTTTTCTAAAATAATAATCGTCGCTATTGTATCGTTAAAAATTATTTTTAAATTATTTTATTGCTCACAAAACAAACAACCACTCATAATTAGAAAATTAAGTCTCGTTTAAATATTGGTCTCCCTTCAATGGTCGAGCCGTTGATGCCAGCTAAAACACGCAAAAATTTAACAAAAATAATATTAAAGTAGCCANTTGATTCTTGTTGAATTTCATTGAATAAATTATTGTTTGATTTCTACTAAATACTGTATATAGTTTATTACTAGAAGTTTAATTAAATATTTGATTTTGTTATTGACAAACTTTGTCATTATTTAATTCGGTGCACGCTTAAAGTCCAGGCCTGGCACACTAACGCGAATCCGCGTAAAGTACCCGTTAGGGAACGGCTATTTCCGGCACACAGTAGTGTCGATAATCGTTGGAAAGTCGGAAAAATAATAATAGTACTTTACAACATGTCCTATTTGAAGGGTCTGGAGATTGTAAAAATGTTCATTAAGTAGAAGTGTCCACTATTTGGGAGTGTTTGTTAATGGAGGTTCCACTGTAGATGAAAATAAATTCAAAGGGTATAAAAAATTTTTATAAGAAATACTTGGGGTGGCAAGCATCACGTATTTCTTATAAAATTGGATTGAATAGTACAGTGTCAGAAGCCTTCATAGCCATTGGTACTATGGCTTCTGATACCTACTTAGATGAGTGCATGATTTTTCACCAATAATTCATCTCTTATGTTAGAACATGTGTGAGAAATAATTCAACCAATAGTGAAGAGAGGTTTCTTCACTGTTGGCAGATCTGTGATGGTTTGGAGATGTTTTAGAGGGTGTGGAACAGGTCCAATCCATTGCACTAAAGGTCACAAGGATCAACATGTATATAAAGAAATATTAAAAAAGATTATGTTGTCATTTGCCAAAGAAAATTTTTCATGACTCAAACTGCACAAACAGAACTGTAAAACAAGTGTAAGTTTAGCCATGGCAAGCATATTCTCCTACTCCAAATCTCATCAAAATTCTATAGAAAGATGTGGAAATAGCCAGAAAAATCAGACAAAATTGTTTGAAATAATAAAAGAAGCAAGGGAAGTCATATATATTCACTAAATGTGACAATCACATCATTCAGTGAATATATATAACTTCAGTAGACTGTACACCACAAAGACTGTGCTGCAGTGATTAAAACTTTTGGTTATCCAACAAAGCATTAAGTTTCTCAAAAACAAGTTCTAAAAATGTTAAATAAAAATGTTTTTGTTAAAGTACAGATGTTGCTAAACTTTGGACTAAGAGTATTAATGTTTAATTCACACACAAAATTTTTATTAAAGAACTATATTAAATAATGTTACAAAATTTTTAAATTTGTTTGTTGGTTATCCAATATGTGAATGAAAATAAATATAAATGTTACATTTATTAATTTAACGAATTATAGTGTAAAATTCTGACCACTATTGAATATTGAAAGATTTCATTTTGCCAAACTATAATTTAAAGAGTTATTTTCAATATTATAAGAGTTTTTCATTATTAAAAAATAGTAATAATAAAACTAATTATAAAAACATACTCTATTTGGTCCACCAGGAGGAAATGGTGAATGTCTTCCTCCACCACCACCACTTGGGCTTCCTGGCTGTGAAATTGAATCCCGATGTGGTGAATTTCCAGGACTTTGTGTCGGACTCTCACCCCAACGAAAAATGTCATGAGTAATATCATTTATGTCGTGTGTAATATCATCTTCATTCAATGCTTGCAATATATCTTCATCTCCCAAAGTAGTTGAAAGTGGATCTATATGTTCTTGTTGAAATGTGGCTTGAGATGACTAAAAAACAAAATGAAAGAAAAACCATTGCATACATAATTATTTGTCAAATTATTATATATAAATGTGAAATACCTGTGTAGTTGCTGAAGTAGGGAAGACCAGTATGTGTGTACAAGTAGCATCTTCAGGAGTACTAAGATCACAAGAATTACAACTACTACTAAACCTGTCATCAGGCGTAAACTGATCGGGCATTATGCGCAATGCGGAATCAGGTTCTAAAGAGATCAAACATGCTGACAAAATGGATGGAGTATCTATAGGCCCTAAAACAGCACATTGTTGACACAAATCTCTTAACTGTCTACTATAACAGAGAAGAGACTTGCGTCCCAATAGCAATGCCCATTCTCTCAGTTCACCATGTCCTAATCTCCCTAGTCTACCTATTACCAAGCGCCATGGCTGAACAGATGTAGAAAGAACTTCTAAGATGAATTGAAGTAATTTATGTAAACCAATTTTGCGAGCAGAAGCCTTTTTTCTCCTAGTTCTATAAAAAATAAACAAGTGAATTAATAAAAATAAATAAATATGTGACTTTGCAATTTATAACAATTAATAAATAATATTTACCGATTAGGAATTTCAATATTTATACAACATGTTTCCAGCATATCACCTTTATCATTTGTACAAGTAGCTAAAAGATACCTCTGGTCTTCAGTAAGACAATATATACAATACAGAATATGAGATTTTTCTCTGCGATCACCAAACATTTCACCTAATTCTGTCTGTTTATCCTTCAATGGAGCAAGGATAAAAGGTAAACTGAACATTCGTTGTGGTCCAGAATTTCTTTCCTGAAAATTAAATTATTCAGCATTACTTAAAAATATTGTTAATATATATACACTAAATAATTTCAAAAATTAACCATAAACAGTATTCATAAAAAAATCTTTACAAATGTAGATCAAAACACAAATACAGAAAATTGTAATTATTATTGTATATGCACTAATAAAATATAATTTTTTTTTTTTTAATAATTAGTAAGACCTGGCACCATACTAAAATACATCTGTAAAATTTTGCTTATTAAAGCAACTAAATACTTAAATTTCTTTATTTTTAAAAAGTTTTCAGCTAAATCTTGAGTCATCTTCAGTTCAAACAACTTTACATAAGATAATCTAAGAACACCATACAAAACAAAGATTAAAAAGAACACATTCATATTGAACTTAAAACTTAGAACAAACATTTTAAATTTAATTTTTTAAAAAACCTTTAAAATTTATTCTTCTTTTTAATTTGTTTTATTACATTTTTTAGTTTTAACTTTTGTTCTTAGAATATCTCATATAAAGTAATTTGAGCTGAAGATGGCTTAAACTGAACTAAAAATTGTTTTGAAAAAAAATAAAAAAAATAATAATATTTAGTTGCCTTAATAAGCAGAATTCATAGATGTATTAATGATTTTTTTAAAATTTATATTTATATTCAGTATTTATATTTTTATTAATAATTCTGTATAGTTTACATATTCTCTTCAAGTCAATTTTTGCACATACCAACTATTGCATTTTCTGCATCATTATAAAGGCATTTATGTTTATAGTGATATTCCATTATTGTAATTTAACGTGGAAAACTTGTATGGGTTATCTGCATTTAAAAAACAATCAGAGTGGAGGTTATATGAGGGAGCATTTTATATACTAATTTTAAATTACAATTATAAGCTCAAACAACTCTCTCTCTAAAAATCATTAAGACTCTAAAAACTGTAAAAAAAAATTAGTTAAGCACAACAGATATGTTCATCTGCCATTGTAATTTTTCCCAAAATCACCAAATGCAAATATCTTGCTTTTAGTTCCCTCCATTCAGTTTTTTGCATTCAAATTTAGGTAGGAATGTCAAATTTCTGGTAATTATTATTTCCTATCAGTTATAGTGATGTCATTTCAAAAAAACTTTGATGGTTTACATATGTAATACAATAATTATCTTCTTAATAAGCTCATTATTTTAAACTTATTGTTATTTTTATTGTTATAAAGTAAAGTCTGATAACTAAAAAGAATTATATATACAGCATGTCAGAGAAAGATCTTTATCATTCTAAACCTTAACAACAAAAATACTAACAGGTGAAATGAAATGCAGTTTGCTGCAAAAGAATGAAGAAATCTAAGAGTTTCTTCTGGTATCAGTTGCCTGACGTAGATTGCCAATTGTGATGAGGACCCATACCTTGGCCTCCACGATTGCCCGACATAACTCCACTGGATTTCTTTTTTTTGGGGTTATGTTAAAGACACAGTTTATCAAACACCTGTTTCTGATATCCGTTTTAAAGGAAATGATACAATTAGCAATCTTCACTGTTACACTGCAAATGTAAAAAACACTTGGAGGGAAATTGAGTACAGACTTGACATTGTTCGTGCTACTAACAGAGCTCATGTACAGCTACATTGAAGGTACTGTAAAGAAACTCTTAGATTTCTTCATTCTTTTGCAGCAAACTGCATTTTATTTCACCTGTTAGTATTTTTGTTATTAATGTTTAGAATGATAAAGATCTTTCTTGAACATGCTGTATTTAAAATGATAGCTCTAGCTTAACTGTACAACATTTTCTTTTATTTACACATAACAACATTATTTTATGCTATTTAACTAGTGAAATCAAAATTAAAAATGATGTCATTAAAATTTTGCTTTATTTGCTTCATTTTTTAAAACTTTTCAGTGTAGAAAGTCATTTTATAATAATTAAAAGCAACATTCAGATAAAATTTAATTATTATTAAGCAATTTTCAGGTTAAAAAACAATAATGAAATAAATTTTTACAAAAATACTTTTCTGCTTTATTCTATCAATACAAATTTCAAAAAACAATTTCAGTATCCTATTGAATGGCCTGATAATTACAATACATCAATAAGAAAGCATATATCATTTGTTGAACAATCAGGAAAGAAAAATTTTATAAAATATCATTTCATTTTTGTTTTATATATCAAATAAAAATATAATAAATGTCAAAATAAACTTAAAATATCATATTAAAATATTTTTAATGCCTTAATTTTAAGCTTTTTCATACTGTGAACAAATTGCTAGTGAAAGGCAGAAACAGAAATAAATATTGCATTGACAGGAACATTCTTTCTAATAAATTTTTCTGTATGTAAACAAAGATCACATTTTAACTCATTAAACTTTTCCATTAGCCTTTTCCATTAGCAAAAAAATATTTGCCAGAAATTAAAATAACAAATTTCTGGAGATAAAAAAGACATTTAAATATAGGAGTCAAAAGATTTTAAAGTTATACTCTTATAATTATTTTAAAAAATTTTTCTTTTCTGATAAATGGATGAAGCAAACATAAAAGGCAATTTGCTGTTATCATCTGCCTTCTTCTTTTAATGATAATATAACAGCAGTGGAAATCAAATTTGCTATATAAAAATAAATCATTTTTATGATTTACGTATTTTCATATAGCAAATTTGATTTTATGGCAAATTATGGCAATGCAACACTTAGGCGATCTGCCTAGGGTAATGCCTTCTGGGAGGTCTTTTTAAGGGAAACTGGCCCCTATTTAGGCATTTCAGACGTGGAGAAAACCCAGAAAACTCCACATGGCCAACCGTCTGAGTGAGGTCTGAACCCACGACCGAACTCACAATGTTCAGGGTACGAAAACCACTTGGCCACTGGTGGGCACTGAAAAATCATTTTTACACTTTCTATTTTTATTTATGTTAGTGAATGTGAACCGAACTTATAATTCGATACAGCAAATAAGAGCAGTTAACTCTGGAATGGATGTCATTGGATATTATGGATATTAAAAATTATTTCCTACTTTATTTTTTCTGTATTTATTTTAACAATTATCATCATCATACGTAAGGAATGATAAAAAAAAGTTGTTGTTTCACAGTGCTACAGTCATGCTTTTGATTTGTACCAAATCCAGAATGACTTGACCATGGCTTCAAATATGGCCCTTAAAAAATAGTCACAACCAAGATTATAAGTGCCATTTCCATTACACTTATGCTGGCAAAAAAGTTTTATGCCAAAATATACTATACTGATAGTTCATTCATCTTATTCATGATATGACAAATAAGTTTTGAGATCAAAATGCAAACATAATTATAAAAATGAGGGAGTGTTCTAAAAATGATGAAATATATTCATGATTCTGTAGTAGATTCAGTTGGTCAGTACAACAAATTTTAACAATGTTTCTTTTTTATACAGACATATTCATTGAAATACAACATATTAAATTTTACTTCAATGAATTAATTTTATAACATAAAATAACTTCAAAACACATTAAACTTTAATGTGAAAAATATAATACATAAAAATACTTACATTTCTACCTCTTAAAAAGATATCTTGGGATGCAGCAGGACCAAAACCAGTTAAAGACTTTACTGTAGAATTATGAGTAAGTAATCGACGGCACTGAGAGAAAACAGTGAATGCCAATGCTTTTAACTGTTCTTGTCTTTTGCTACCATTTTCGTCTTTCCCAAGCCACATAACTGAGTCAAGCGTCACAAGCTATATTAAATAACAATTAAAAACTTAATTTAGTATTAACAACAAAATCGAGTAATTTGATTTAGGATAATTAACATAATTAGATATCAATAATTTCATAATTTACAGATTACCTGTAAATGTATACTGTTTTGTATTTGCTCTGGTAAAAAACGCAACATGTGAGCGTAACAGCGTAAGAGACCAATAGTAGACAGACGATACAGATCATTGTCTAGACTACCGTAAGTAAATGGTTCGACAATATAAATAATCAATGCTGGAGGTTGTTGTTCGTCCTCACCATCCCAAGGATCTTGGGTACCTCCACTATTATTTGTAGTTGTTCCGGTATTTTGATTTGCATTACTTCCAGCTGAACTTGGGTCATGAGTATTTTCTAAAATATTAAAAAACAATTTATTTAGATTAAGAATACTGAATATACATTGTACATTAATAAACAATAGTCTATCCAACAAAAAATGAACTTTCTAAAATCATTTTTGATGAGCAGTTATAGTTAGTACTTTTGACTTCTGAACAGTTATTAACTTCTGACATTTTATACTGAAAATATAATTAATACAATATCAAAACTTTTATTTTATTACATTTACAAATGTAACAAATGTTCATGGTAAAATGTTGATGACAAAGAAGTATAATTTAATAACATATACCTTATTTAATAAACATAAATCCACTGTTAAAGTTATCTGTATTTTAAAAAATGTTTATCTATATTTTTCAGACTAATATTGTTGAAATGGATATAAAAAAAATTATTTGAAAAGCATAAAAATTTTAAAAAATGCCATTAATAGATTAAAAATTTATATGCAAGTACAAAAAATTATTTAGATATATTAATTGTAATGCTTATAAACACAAAATATTGATTAATTACATTGACAGTTTGTAAAAAAATTGTTTTAATTAATATTGTTTCTAAAATTATTCTATTTTCCAATAATTGTTAAACAAATAGGAAATATTAAAACATTATTTTAATATTACCTGAATCTGCAGGTTTAGGTGTTGAGGCATGATCTTTTTCTTGATTTTCTGGTGTATTGGGTGGCATGGGAGAAGCAACTGTGGTAGCAAGTGGTTTATCTGGAGGTTTCATTGGAGGTGGACAATTATCTAAAAGAGTTCTATCTAATGGTTGAGTAGCCAAATGAGGTGCTATTAACAAAAATAAATTATAATTAATTTTCTATGACAAAGTAATCAGAATATATTTTTACAATTACAGATATTTAATCATTAATATAAGCAATCTATTTAATTGCAAACTAGTAACATATGGTCCTACAGTCTGTTTGTATGAGAAAGGCACCTGATAGCTAACATTTGATAAATGTACATAGCTACAAGAAATTATTTATTGTGCCATCGTTACAATGCTGGGCTGCAATTTTTAATCATATTTTTAATTTATTTAATTTAAAATATAGGCTTTCCACTTCAATTTAGTACTGTGTCTTGCCCCCTGTTTCCTGTTAGCAATAGTTGTGCAGTCAAACTAACACCTTTCAGGGGAAAATTTTTGAATTGGAATAACATGACTTCCAGTGCAAACTGGAAGTTTGTATATAGTTAGAGTCTCCTGCCCCCAAGCTTTCCATATATGGTCTTAACTTTCAATTATCTAACATTGTTCTAGAGATTAAGGAAAGACAGACAAATGACAGTGGAAATTTATAAGTCTACTATTTTTTCAGCTTGCAGCATAATTATTATTTTAGAGAGAATAGCTTACATTAAACCTGAATATTTTAATATTTTTATTTAAATAGAAAGAATTATCAACACTTACATTTCTTACATTATATCAATATACTATGTTGATAATAAACAAAGTATTTATACAAGGTAGTTTCAGAAAGTTCCCAGAATTGGTTTATTACTCAAAAGTATGTATGCAATTGACAAATCAAGCAGACACTACTGTATATAGTATTAGATTGTTTTTTTTTTGTGTCTTGAACACCTTTATCTAAAAATCCAGCAAACAGTTGCTTAACTTTCCCCACAAAATTTGGTGGCACCATCGTATTGGAGAAGAAGAACGCCGGTTACAGGCAGTGATGTTGGGTAATCGCTATCATATTTCATTAAAAAAACCTTTTATATTTTTAACTATTATAAAATGGCAAAAAGCTTAATTTTGAGGATAGAGATTGATTTTATAAAAATTGTAAATGTTACTTAATAATGAGTAAAATTGTCATTAAGTCTGGCTCTACTGAAGATACACATGACTGCTTTTATCTCCCCATTTGTTGACCTTTAACCCATCAATACCTTTAACAGCATCAATCCCTTAATATACAAAATTTCAGAAATTTTCAACATAAAGCAAAAGAGATTAAGCTTCAAAGAGGGTGAACAAAATTGTCCCCCACACACTGATACATACAGAAAAACCCGCCAATTATTTTTTGGATTTCTTGACATTTCAAGGCTCCAATTGCAAAAATGTAAAATTTTGGGAGGTCATGTTTTGACTGATTGCCATACTTTTGGTTATATATAACAGATGGAAAAGTAAAAATGAGTTTCTTCCACTTGACATGATCATATTCCTTTTGAGTGCCTTCCTCGTGCAAATCACTTGTAATAAATAAAACCATTTTTTTAAATGTCCAGACAACAGTATTGTTCCCATTTTTTTATGGTAGCATGGAATCAGTTTAAAAATTCTTGTTAAAAAAATTCCCTTATATAGTTCTAAATATTAATAGGGTTGTTCAGAAAGTAATTTAGATTTTTTATTGGGGGAAAAAATTTTCTTATAATATATAAATATTTTATTGAATTATATATTGACCATTTTGGTCCAATACCTGTTGCCATCTTTTGGTAGTAGCATGCTTCCACGTTCATAAAAGTTTTGATCTTTGCATACAAAAAACTAATCCAAGTGATTTTTGACATCCTCATTAGAAGTAATGTCCATAATTGGAAAGGAAGTCTTTCAAACTTTGCAACAGCATGGACTAAATATAAAACAAGTTCAGCCAAAAATAAACAGTGGAAGGGTTTAGGTGTTTCTCAGAAGAATCAGAAAATAATTTTTCTATTCTTTTTTGGCACAAAATTACAAACTGTTAAAGTTCATAGTGTCTCAGACATAATGTCGTGCCCCAGTTAAATATGACATCAGAGTTAAAAACCACCTGATGCATACAATCATGTAACAATGCACAAAATTGTACATAATTGCATATGTAAGTTGGTGATTTTCTGCAGTAGTTTTTTGAAAGCCTGTGGCAAGTAGAAAAAATGTTTTTTCAATTAGAATTTTTATACAGTTAGATAGATAGCATGTTAAGCATGAAAACATCATGGAAACACAGATCAGCAATCAATTTGGTGAAAAATGCCTGCAAAAATCTAGTAGGTGTAGAAAATCACCACTACTGCAAGTGATCACATTATTTCTAGTCAATGTCAATGACTAATTTGATATAATTTCATTCCTTATTTTAGATACAATGCAGTTGTAATTTATCTTATTTTGACAATTCTGAAATAACACGATCTTATAAGTTTTGATGATAAATAAATCATATTACCCATATAAAGACTAAAATTACTTTTAATTAACTGCGAACTCAAGAAATCAAAATCACAGGAGAAAAATTTGAAAATTAATTGAGTTTTTTTTTATTACACAGTTAAGTTTCAGTTAAACTTTTTTAAAATAACTTTCTTTTATGTAAGTTTTATTTTGTTATTATTTATATTAATTAGAGAAAACTTTTCTTAATTTTAAATTTATAAAATAAGCTGAAAAAATTATTATATTAGTATACATTTATATTTACTGAATTACATTCCCCTGAGTTTCATGTATTTTTTTTTATAAGAACTAGTCTTGCATAAATTGCAATTGCACTGTATTTAAATTTACTAAAAACAGATAATTAATATTAAAAATGCTATTAAAACAATTATCTTTTAGTTTAAGTATTATTCTAACTTTAATAAGAATGTTATCATCACTAAAAACTATTAATTTATCATTATTTTTACAAGAAATACAATAAATAAAATAGCCTTTCCAATATTTCTGAAATCAAAATTTCTTGTATTCCATCCAAATGTACATTTTACTTATTGTATTAAGTAAAAAAACTTTGAAAACAGTTCTTTTAAAATTGCTACTATATTTATATTTAATTATAACATCAAGAATATTGCAATATTTACCTAAATGATGGCGACATGCCTGTGCATATAATTTTAACTTGCTGGCAACAGGACCATTGCCTATCTGATTAAACCACTCATCTACTGGCTCGTCTGCCAATTTTTTTGCCGCTATTTTTCCGACTCTCATTATGCCATCTCTTAAAACTTTGGTAATCGGGCAATGCCTTCCCAACTTGCAAAGTTCATATATATTACTGAGCTCTTTAAAAAATGTTTTTACATGTCCGAGAATAAAATCATTATCAGGAGCCACAACTATATAAGCAACATCCCTTGTCATTGAGTACGGTTCTAGTAACAATTTATCCTAAAAAACATAATTTAAAAAAATTATATAATAAAATAATTATTAATAAATCTTTATTTTATTAAAAAAATTAAGACTCAGTTTTTATTAAGATATGTACACATCATGACTTACAATCATTTATGCCAGATGTGAGCACCTTTCTATAGTAAAGAATCATACAACTGTTTTGAGAGATCAGACCAAAAAGTAAAACAGTCTGATTTTATTTAAATTATACATAATCTGATTATATATAATATTGAATTATAAGTAATAAAACTATAATTTTTTTTTCATTTAAAATTATAGATGACTTAAAATAAACACAAAGTAACAACTTTGTGTTTGCAAAATTTTGATTGATTTTTCAATACAGTAGAGCAGGACTTCTTAAACTATGGGTCGCGACCCCATTTGGGGTCGCTTAGCGAAATCTTGGGGTCGCGAGATTTTAATGCAAAATATTGAAAATAATTTGTGAGTTTGAAAATGGCACGGTTTGTGTCATAGGTTTCGTGAATTGCGCTTTGTGTCACTTCTGGTGCAGTGAGACAATGATTCAGCAACACTTTAGTGTGAACTAGTGTAGTGTTTTCGCTTTTCAGTGTATTCAGTTATCTCTGTTCCGTTGTAACACAAGAGTGAACTGTAGTAATACACCATTATTGTTTTTGCAAACTTGTATACATCTTTATTTTATATTTTTTTGGGGGGTCGCGAAAAAAATCACAATCATAAATGGGGTCGTGAATAAAGAAAGTTTAAGAAGCCCTGCAGTAGAGCATTGTTTATCCGAAACGTCGGTTAACCGAAAGCATTCCAGTAGGCAAGTTTAAATTTTTAAATTTTCGCTAGTGCTGTGGTGCTGCAATCTTTGGCTACTCCAATATTTTTTTTGTTGGTGTGTGTGTTTTAGCTGGCAGCACTGGCACTTTTGTGTGGTGTTTTTCTGAGGACTGTGTGTCGTGCTGAATCAAACATTTTTGATACTAGATCAACTTCTAAAGTATAATTTTTTTTTGTTTTTATATTTTTCAATATATTTATTATGTTTGTAAAAAATAAAGAAATAATTTTTAACAATACAATAGCCACTATTATTATTTTAAAAAGTTTACGTTTGGCTTAACATCGACAAAAATTCAACACAAATACAGCCGACCCCCCTATAATGCCGTAGATACTACCACGTTATAGGGGGGGGTCTACTGTATATTTTTTCATACATAATCGGTTGTCCGAACAACCTCAGTCCCCAATTGATTCGGATAAACGACTCTCTACTGTATTTAAGATCTTAGTTATTACAACTCAATTAAACTTGTTAATTGCAATTGGCAGTTTGCAAAAATTGCCATGTCTATTCATTAATAAGAATTAATTTGCTTAAAATTTTATCAATCATTTTACATCATTAAGAGATTATAATTTCAATTTATAACATTGTGTGTGTATGAATGATTTACTTAACAGATTTCCAGAAACCAGTTAAACCCTAAAAACCATTAGTCTAACATACAATTTTCTTGTTATTTCATTTTAAAAAATAAATAAGTCATCATCACACTTACCCAAAACTTTACTGCAAATGGTGATAATGCAAGCCAGTCTTTATCATATCCAACAAGTAAAGATGGAATTGGTTGTGGTTCACACTGATCTTCTGTTCCTATAAATGAATTAAAAATTTAATATAATATTGACCAAAATATTTTGAAATAATGATATAATAAGTCAGCCAGTCTCAGGCTTATGATATTGGTACTTAAAATGGCAAAAAGTGGCATATTACCAAATTATTTTGAAGCCCAAACACATCACATTTGCTAATCACACAGTAAAACAATTACAGATTGAATATAACATTGTAATGGGCAATATACATGTCCAATACAACACACTGATTACTGATTGAAACAAATTACCAATTATCTATAAAAATATTTTTTTACTACTATATAAATAAAAGTTTTGAGAAAGTAGTTACCTCTTCCAGCTAAACGATGAAACTGTCTCCATGTCAATGGACCAGAAACGGCATAAGTTATTTCCCACATATGAGAGTTTTCCCGATGAGAAGTTTTCTTCTGAACTGCTTCTTGTAATAATGGTTGAAGAAGCCTTAATAAATGAACTGTATCATGACTACTGACTGGAAGTTTCACTAAAAACAAAAATATGGATAACAATAAATATTATATAAAATATTTATAATAATTTTCAATTCTAACTTTGATGTTTGACAATATATTCATGTATAAAAATGATCAGTATTTATACACAATTTTAATAACTTTCTTAGATATAAAGCAAACTACTAGAAATTGTTAGAAATTAAGTATAATTAGTTTGTTTTTACTGAAATGTTAATCTTAAATTTGGTTATATAATTTAAACATTAAAAATAACTGTAGATGAAAAACACAGAATTCATCTTTTGAAAATAAAGCTTTGGATTATCAGTTTGGAACAAAAATTTGAATAATGTTAATGCTTAAGTAAGTTATGAACACTATTTATCACCTAATCAGATAAAAATGAATAAAGAGGAAATTATAAAAAAAAAACCTCAGTTTATTTTAATATACAGTGGGCAATCAGTTAACAAACATAGGCCATTACAAGACTTTGTTTGTTATCCAAATTGTTTGTTAACTGATTATCGATTTACCATAGGTTTTTATGGGAATTTGATTAATTCATTCTGGCGATTTTTGTTACTCCTTTAGCTGTTAGAGTCTTCTTGATTATACTGCATCTTTCTTAGATAAGATTGAACTGCACCCTACTTTAGACCTGTTCAAGCCATACTGCCCAGCAGCATCAGATATCTTTGGCCCACTCTCTACCTTTGCTATTATACTTTCACCTTTCAAAAAATAAAAACTGACACAAAACTTAACAAGTGCCTGCCCGACAGTCTTGCGAATACTATAAAAGAATTGTTTCTGTCAGAAAAATAAAAAAATGGAATTACAAGGGAGAGTTTCAAAGTTTGGAGCAATACCATCTAATCAGTATATACCGAATTGAGCATTGATGTCAATGTCTCCTGCGCTCGAAAAAGTTTCTAATTGTTGCCTGAAGACAAGGGAAGACCAATCAGTATTCATTATTTTACGTCACTTCTTTTATTTATTCTGTGAGGTATTCATCATCTGAACATAAAAATCTTTCGCGAAAATGTTCGTCATCCAATCACCCACTGTATAGTCATATTAATTTTGAATGAAATATCAATACTAATTAAAAATAAAGGCACTCCTCTACTTGCAATCAGATGTGGTCAAAAGTCAAAAACTAACCTAGAGAGTACATTTGTACACATAAAAACCATGTATTGCTAGTGTTTGATCCTTCAATGTACTTAGTAGAACACATTAAGCACACTTAATATGTTCTACTAAAACATCTACAATGCTTGATCCTAAAGTTTCAATATTACTAGATGAATAATAAACTAATATACATTAAATATGTTCAAATTTGAATATATTATTCTTTAACTAAAAAACTGTATAATTAGAAATTATAAAAAATTTATCATTTACCTGGTAAATAAGGCCACTTATGTAGAGAAGTCGACTTTAAATTCTCATCTAATTTATTGGTATTTATATTGTCTATAGCTTGCTTTCCCGTATCTAAACCGAGAAAACAAATTTCGCAACCATCTGACATTTCAAGAGCATTATACTGAGGATGAATTCTTTCGGTTGAATGTAATTGAACGGCTTTAAAAAACAATGAACACGTAGAGTATAAAGTGGAACACTGAACGGTCATCAAATCGATAATGGTACATGGAAGTTGGTCCACTTGTCCGACGTCTTCTTTGTTCTCACTTGTTATTGTCCGACTTTCCATATTTCTCTTGACAGACGATTCAACTGAGGAAAGACTACGCCTTCTTCTATTTATCGCTTCATAATGAATACCGGTTATTTCGACTTCATCTTCATAAAATAATCCTGAACAATGACTGAGATTACGATTAACAACTGCACTAAATCCACAAGTGCATTTCTCCTGAGGCTCTTCTGTAACAGATGGAACAAGATAACTTGGGAGATATATACCAAAATCTGCACCTTTGATATTCATGTTACAAACACACAAGGTGCAGCTGGCAAAGTTATGGTCTTTAAAGAGATTGAGCATTGAATCTGACAAAACTAAATTAACAAGTAAACTGTGGGCTTCAGGTATGGCAGATATAGTGCTACTATTATCAATAGAATTCAAATGCTTATTCAGATATGAAGAGGCACTGGAGGCAGGTGACTGTAAATCATAATTTGATGACAAGTTTCTTTGATCTAAGGTTGACTCAACAGGAAACATCATTCTCTCATTTTCTGATGGAGGCATAGTTTGATACTGATTTCTGTTTAAATTAAAAGAAATTAATTTAAACTTAGTTAATTAAAGTATTTTATTTTTATTTTTAATGATTTCAATATCATTATTACCTTTTACACTTTAACATCCATGCTGTTGAAATTTGGCCTTCATTTCTACAAACACTTTTCATATGGTCAACATATCTATTAATCAAAATATTAAAATGAGTATTAGTTAATTTATTATATATTTTTAATTTACAAAAAATAATGAGAGAAAAATTAAATAATCCTTACACTGGATTTGGATGCCTGTCTGCAGGTGTTGTTAAATTACCAGGTCCACATATACCTGTCGAAACAGGAGTGGTCATCGGATGCTGTTGCCACGATATTTTATAAATACATTCCGATGATAATGATATAGGAGGCAAATGGCTGCTTGGCAGTATTAAAATTGGTGAATATCTTTTAGAGCCAACAAATTTTTGCTGTACTGCTGGCTTAAATACATATGACCAGTCCTATAATTGACAATAATAAGTTAAATATTCTTTGTAATATTCAGTCATTTAAATAATAAATTCTTAATCAATGTGCTAATTAGAATAATAATAAATAACTTGTTATACTGCAAAGCAATAAACATGTCATAAAATTAAATTATATCATTATTTATTTTCTGACATTCCGCATACTGTGGAAACTCAAGGTTTTTTAAAATTAAAAAAATCTCTAATATGTATTTAATGGAAGAAAAAATAATAAGAATAAAATTAATTTATAGGTTATTTTTACTATTATTTAATCAACCAGAATATAGTAATATGAGATATCTTTATTAGCTAAGAATAAATATTTATAGAATATCATTAAAAATAAACACAAAATATTTGCAATTTCATGTGTTAAGTGTACTTAAAAGTTTATTTGAAAGTGAACACAGGTTATCTGCTGATTTTAATTCATAATTACAAATTCAACGAATATTTCTTTTGTCTAAAGCCACCAATTATGTCTTAGTCATACAGTTCAGCATTTCTCAAATTTTTTGCTCACGTGACCCAATATATTTGTTTGTAATAGTTCTGCAACCCAAATGCTTATAATAAAATTTTAAAAAAGCCTGGTAAACTGGAGTCACTGTATATTATATAACAAAAATTACGCATTATTGATAATAAAATGTACATGTGAAATGTGAATTTTGATTCATAACAAATAACTTACTTCAATTTCAGTTTTTATTATTGAAATTTAACTATTAAAAATGTAAGACTGATGATTGTAAATAAAACAGACTGTTTCAAAATTACATATGTGAGGTCTCGACCAGAGTCTGACACTGACGACTTGAAAATCTGTTTTAAAGGAAAAAGTTGTTTCTATAAAATGCTCTTAGTAGATAAAATAACTTGACAAAGAGCAGATTGAGAATTTGACCATTTTCTCCAAAAATTGCAAAAATGGGAAGATAGAATGTATAATAAAACCAAATGTTGTGAGTGTAGTTGGTAATATTTACAACTAAGTTAAAAATGCTTGACTCTGAATTACAGATGGATTCACAACAAATTCAAAAAACATTTTCATCCAGTTTCCAATCTCTGAATTCTGTCTCAAATAGCCCTGGCAACAAACTAGGGATCAATCAAAAAGGTAGAGGATGGAGATAACGACCAACTAGAACGTCTGATTGGGAATGCAAAATCTTTAGGAAGCCTGAATTCAAGCACAGAGAGCAATTCTCCCCACTAAGACAGAAGAAATTTTCTCATCAAGTCAAATGATAAGGATTTTCCCCTGAAGACAAAGTGATGGAGATAACGACCAACTAGAACGTCTGATTGGGAATGCAAAATCTTTAGGAAGCCTGAATTCAAGGACAGAGAGCAATTCTCCCCACTAAGACAGAAGAAATTTTCTCATCAAGTCAAATGATAAGGATTTTCCCCTGAAGACAAAGTGATTCTCCCCAAATCAACAAACAAAAGTGATTCCACCAAAAAGAGAGTGATCCGGGTGCTTTACCTTTTATCTTATTTGCAACCTCATTCGATATTATCATTTCATTGGCTTCTGGATCAATAGTAACCTTGACCGGAAGATTGTTAATGTAACATAGAATTACTGAGTTACTCTTCTCAGGTAGAGACATTAGTCCTATTTTTCCATTCCATCTCCTCATCCTCAGAGGTGGAATCTAGCTCGCCAGTGTATACGCACTGGATATGAGCGGATGGCCTATTTCGTCATTGGTGAGGGTAGGAAGTCGGATGATAATTGCTTCTTCTGTATGGCTGGTCCTTTCTAGGCGAGGATGACTTGCTTGATAATTTATCCAATCAAGTTCAAAGTTCTTCAATAGTGGCAGTTAATGTTTCCCAATCATTGGATGACCTTCTCTTATAGGTCTGATAGTAGCACTGGGGTTGTACTGTCAGACTCTCTATCATCTCCTCACCAATTGTAGCTTTGAGAGTGGTATCAAACGTCTCCAGCTCTCATGACATGACGCATTGTCTGCTTTTAAGATCTATGCCATTCAGAAACTGAGCTTTCAGGCATTCATCTAACTCTTTGGCTTGTATCACTTGATTATTGTGGTTTCTGCTGTATCTGCTCCCTCTTGGGGAATTTCAATTTTGGTGGCAAGGGCTTGCAAGCACACAGCGTACATTTGGACATCCTCATCCAGGCCCTGTATGCAAGCATAGAATCTATTTTATCGAATGGGGAAAAGCACTTGTTTGAATCACTCTAGCATGATCCACTTGAACTCATCATAATCTTCCACACTGATCCACCAGTCCTTTTGGACAAATTCCAGAGCTATACTTGTAAGTTTCAACTTGGCTACCACCAACATTTGCACTTTTTTCCATGCTGCTGGCTTTGCTATGTCTCCTAGCGAGTCGAAAAATTCGGATACTCTAAGTCCTGCCGCATCGACAGAAAATGCAGGTAATAAAGGAATAAAACTTCCTATGTTACCTAAAACTGCCTTAGGGTTTTCTCCTTCCATGCTGATGCTAATATATGCTAGAATCGTCTAAATTTGTCTCCTCGGAAGGAACCCGTCTTCAGTGGACAAACTTGTTTTCAACAAACACTGTCTACTACGGACCTGTCGAAAGCCTGGGGGTTGGCTTCACCCCAACCCTGACACCAAATTATGAGATATCATGGGTCAAGGGTTAAATCCCTACTGACCACTTACTTGGCAACAGTCTGTAAAGACTGCCCACATTGTCATTTCAGATGGCTTTTTATCGAGTGGTGAGGGAGGTGAGCAAGTTGGCAGGTGTCCTTTCAAAGACAGGAGACAGGTTTAACAAATAAACAAAGCATTTATTGAATAATTAAGGTTAAGAAAGTAGGTTAAATGCGATTAAATATTAGACAAATATACAAAGGGGCGGCTCTTAGCAGCTAAGCCTACTCTTGGAGCGAGAGAAAGTTCACAATGCTCTAATAAAAATACCTCTATGAGGAAATGAATGGTATGCGTCGAATGGTTCGTAGAAATTGTAGTCCAGCGTAGAACTGTAGTATGGCAATAAGTATGAAAGTTCAAATCCGCAATCTGTCTTCTATCGATATCTTCTCCTTTCATCCGTTCGAGTCTGTTCTATGGAGATCCAGGAGACGAGATGCATACATTGACAAGTATAACTTCTTTTGAATGACGCTGAGCTTCCGGGGCTCACGCTTTTATCTGACTGTCGTGGGGAGTCACATGATTGTCAAATGCTGACAATAACAGTGCATTCTTGACACCAATGTGTCAACTTTCCCATCTAATTGTTATCATAAACAGTGACCTCTGATCTAATTCTCACAAGGAGCATTTTTTTCTATCGGAGTTGTTTACATTTTTCCCCCGACAACTACATTAAATTCACGGATTTCACACAGTCCAAAAATCAATGTCTTCTAAACAATGAATGTTCATTGAGTGTATGCTCCATTCTTCTTCACAGTAAAGCCTAACAAGAATGACTTATCTTTACAAGTTAGAGAATCTTCTGATTATACAAATAAGAAGCAGACTATCTATATGCAAGACTGCAGTTCTCTATTTCAGCAATTTATATTTGTTTCACAATTAGACAAGCACAAAAGACAATAATCTTTTTTACTGATACATTTGTGTTGTCCAGAACTTGCTAAGTAATACATATGCCTTGATGTATCCACTATTCCAAACACTTTTTCCTTCCCTCAGCATGATGATGAGATCTTTCTCAAACTCCATCAGCTGTGCATAATGTCATTAACTGCATCTTATAGACATGTTTGGCATTTAGAGACCTTCAAACAACAGATAAACTGAAAATTCTAAATACAGTAAACCTCTGCAAGTCTTTTTATAAAACAGTGAGGAAGTGATTTTAAAAAATTCTGGTGGAATTACCCAGGTTGCAATTGGGTCACAACTATATCAATTTGCTTGCCTGTCTGATACATAATTGAATGCAGAATCTTGCAATAATTGCACAATTCTATCTAGGTGTGTAACTTCGTAATGAGCATATAGTAAGTAAACCTATAAAAACTAATTTGTCTAAAATCTAAAACAAATTTTAACATTAATTACTTACCTTAACTGGTTCAATATTGGGACTTCCATAAGTATCTGGATAAATATCTGATCTATCTCTATATGCATAGGAATCTGCACTGTCCAAAACAGTCATATCAGTCCCTCCTAAAGGTCCAGATGGTGATGGAGCAGCATTATGTTCTAAAGATGGCGGTGTTGGAAACATGCGAGTCAATTCTGCTGTACCTAGATTAGATTTTATCATATTATTCAAAAACAGAATCAAAAACATTTTTCTAATAAAACAGTATGAATTTTCTTAAATATACCAAATAGGTCTAAGATACACAATTTTATTCATTAATCACATACAATGGTGCCTCGTATAATGTACGTCTCGAATAACAGACGCTGCAAACAACAGACTTTCTGTTTGGCCGTTACGTGACTCGAGCAACGGACTGGCTTCAAACAACGGACTTTCTGTTTGGCCGTTACGTGACTCGAGCAACGGACTTTCTGTTTGGCCGTTACGTGACTCGAGCAACGGACTGGCTTCAAACAACGGACTTTCTGTTTGGCCGTTACGTGACTCGAGCAACAGACTGGCTTCGAACAACGGACTTTCTGCGAACAAGTGCAAATGATGTTTCCACTCGTTTGCCGTTGCCAATGACAATCTGCTATTTTTATAATAGTATTATTAGAATATATTATTAGTATATCTGAAGTACAGAGCTCCCATTGGGATTCGTCTTGCTCTCTTGTTTATTATGTATAGTACATCACCTCAGTGCAGGGGAGGTATTTACATTTATTCAAGTGTTGTGCAAATCATGGCTTCTAAAAAAACAGAAAGGTGATTTCAATCGAAACAAAGCAATAAATCATCAGAAGGAGTGAAAGTTGACAAAAACTTCCTTGTCAAATGGGGAGAGGTTAAAAAGTTTACCAAAACTCATTATCCAAACAGAGCTGAGGCCAACAGGATCAGTGATATCTACAATGACACCCTTGCCCGTCATTTCCGACAGGTGTTGAAGAAGAGAGAGAAACAGACCACCTTGGACATGTTTTTCAAGAAGCCAGCTGTCAAAAAACAAAGGATGGAACAAGAAGAGTTGACTCTGCAAGCTCCGGTAGCCTCTTCTAAATCTGACTCTGATTAAAAAACAATAAAAAGAGACCCTCTGCAATGTGAAAAAATCTGTATCTGTATGAATGTGTGAAAAAAGTGTTCCCCCACCTCCTCACAACATCTGACTACCCGGCATAATTGGTGACTGCTCCATTTTCATTTTTTTATGGTACGGTTATTTTATGCTCCGGAACGAATTATATGTTTTAACATGTATTTCTATGGGAAAATGCGTTTCGCATAACGGACTTTTCACTTAACGAACGTGCACTTGGAACGGATTAAGTACGTTATACGAGGCACCACTGTATATAACACAATTTATTTCTAGTATATGAAGAGCTATTGAAATATATAATTATAAAACATTCCAGTTCTTAGTAAGTCAAACAGTTCAAATATATTGTCTAAACAAATATGATTCTATTGGGTTTGGAAAGTAATTTTATTTTTCTTACCACTAGATGGATTAGTCGTATTTTTCCTGCCATTTTCATTCTAAACCGTATTAACATTATATATTTTGACAGCTAGCATTTTAAGGCTTATTTGTAAAAAATTTTATTTGATTTTGTGCAATTGTTTATTTTTTGTGTCCCTTCAAATATGGAAGATCGAAAACAGCATTTTCAGCATATTTTGCTCTTTTATTGCTGAAAAGATAAGAATGCTGTTCAAGCGAGAAAAAAATTGTGTGACATGTATGGAGATGTATTGACAGAATGATAGTGCCAAAACTGGTTTACAAAATTTCGTTCTGGCAATTTCAATATTGAAGATGCACCATGTTCTGGATGGCCAGTTGAAGCCAATGAAAACAAAATAAAGATACTGATTGAAGCAAACTGCCAAATAACAACACGTGAAATCACTAAGAGATTAAATTTGTCAAATTGAACTGTTTATGATTACTTGAAACAAATTTGTTTCGTTTCAAAGCTTGATATATGGGTTCCACGTGTTCTTAAAGAGAGATGTTCTCTTTGGTGGGCTTTTAAGGAAATTTTTTTTTTTGAGCTTTACCAGACAATTTAACAATTGATTCGAAAGTGTACTGCCATCGAGTAAACAAATTGNGTTATGGTCTTTAAAGAGATTGAGCATTGAATCTGACAAAACTAAATTAACAAGTAAACTGTGGGCTTCAGGTATGGCAGATATAGTGCTACTATTATCAATAGAATTCAAATGCTTATTCAGATATGAAGAGGCACTGGAGGCAGGTGACTGTAAATCATAATTTGATGACAAGTTTCTTTGATCTAAGGTTGACTCAACAGGAAACATCATTCTCTCATTTTCTGATGGAGGCATAGTTTGATACTGATTTCTGTTTAAATTAAAAGAAATTAATTTAAACTTAGTTAATTAAAGTATTAAGTATTGGTAAAATATATTAGGTACATGGCCTGGCAGGAAATATTTCTGAAATTTGACCCACCTGCTAAAAACATATATCATCATCACTTTTATTCTTAAAATCTCTTCTGGTAAAAATAATCTACTGATTTTATTTTGAGTATGATTAAAGAAGTGTTACTTGAGAAATTATTGTAAATATACATTTCGTTAATTATAAAATTTAAGTAAAATTTCTCTAAACTAAAGGAAATTATATGTCCATGTAAAAACTGATTGCCATGGCCAAATATTTGGTAGAACCTTGTAAATTATCATCTTTTGATAATTTAATATTTCATGATAAAAATCATCAATATTCTTATACATAATTTGATACTTACATTAGATTTAAGTAAAAATTATATTCAGGGTTATAATTCTAAATTTATTGTTGTCGTAATTTAAATGACTAACGTCAAACATTACATTTGACAAAAATTTCACTTTAGAGTTTGAACTGCACATGCAGTCAAAAAATTTGCTCGAAGCAAAAACTCAATCTGTTGTGCGCCCAAGTTGTCTGTTGCTCTTGCATTACATTCATATGTTTTCAATGTGCTTTTTTGCTTATATATATATATTGCGTGTTGTTCATCAAATTTTAACATTTTCTTCCTGCAATTTTTCTTTGTTGACAGTTTTTGGATGCTCCCTATGTTTTGTATAATTTAGTTCAAAATTTCCCAAATGGAACTTTTTAAACCACATTTGACAAACTTGAAGTTTAGCAGCATCTTCCCTAGATAAATTACAATTAAAAAAATTTTTTTTACTGTTTGTATGACATTATATCCTTACCGAAATGCATAAAGCATAATACAACTGATTTTTACCTGAAGACATTTCAACTTGAGTTTATTCAAACAAAATGTGAAGTAACAAGCTTACAATACAATCTCATGTTGGCAATAATATATTTAAGTGTTATGATTATATCATATATCTATGTTAAATAATGCCAGATGTTAAAAAAATGCAAAAACTTTCTACTGTTCAACCCAATATAATCTTCACTTGTTAATCAAGCATTCGAGGTATGTGTGGGAGCAATGTAGTCTAAAAGGAAGGTTATAATATCGATGACTGAGGTAAAAAAGGAACTTATCACAAAGCATGAAAGCAATACATGTGTGGTGGATCTGATGGCAGTATTTAAGATGCTGAAGTCAGTGGTATATGATCAGTGACAGTAGTTTTCATTTTATTACATTTTCTTTTTTGAAAACATTAAATTGTTTATTTGTTACAATCCACTGGAAATTGCTTGCTAAAAATTAAATACATTTAATTTTGTTTAAGACCATTTAAATTAATTACAAGGGTTTGGAAAATAATCAAAATCATAAGTTAGAACTTAACAATTTTGAGTGAATTCAAGCTGAAAGCAAAATAAATAAACAGAGGTAATCAGCAATAAATTAATTTTCAAATAAAATATAAAAATTATGTTACAATGAAACAATCAGTAAAACTGGTATTTTTCATACAAGGTGAATTTTAGTACAGGTATCTCTGTACAACACGGTTTGAAAATTGGAAATATCCCCTGTACAACACAACTTCCAGTTTCACTCCAATACAGTTTTGGAAATCCTCCATACAAAATTAGACAATTTGTAAGGCCGAGACTCCACTAGTGTAAAAACATGCATAAAACCCCTTGCCATAAAAGCACTTAATCACGTGACCATGATATTTTACGCCTGAGCAGGTCGTAAAACCAGCGTAAAAACAAGTTGAGCAGTGTTCAACTTTCAACGTGAATACAGCCGTAAAATGGTAGCATCTACCAATCAGAAGTCAGTGAAATCTAGGTCATTGTGACACGGTGCAAAAATGGTGGAAAACAAGCTTTTGTATATGTTTCTTCATGGCTACTCTAGAATACATCTGAAAAGATTTATCGAAAACATCCGAAAGTATTCATGTATCTACGACAAGAAGTATCCAGATTATAATAATGGATGCCTAAAACATGCAATATGGACAGCCAAAGGAAAATACATCAATTTAGAGGCGTATATAATAAAAAAAAGTTAAGCTTATAAGTTCTGTATATTACCTTAATTAATAATACAATAATAAAAGTTAATATATGAAAGTAAAGATATTATTTTTACTACATTTGTAATTATAGTACAGAAAAAGCTCATAGAATATAATCACTGTCTTTATATTGATATATCACATATACAACTGTCGATAGTACCATCGCCGTAAAAACTTTGCTAGCCGGACCTCCACTGCAATCCAGATGCAAATGCAAATAGGTCACATGATTAAAAGTTTTTATCGCCATAAAAACTTTTATGCTAGTGGAGTATTGGCCTCAGTGTAAACTTTGCTATTTAATATATATTTTTTAAAAATTCAAGTAAGCATGCATGTTGTCTCAAATTTGTCCATGAATTTTAGAATATTAAAATTTTCAAATTATGAAGTGCTTTTCATAAGGTTTACTTTAATGAAAACTGATAGCACAAAAAAGAAAAATTTGTACTAACTTTCCCATCAACCAGGTATCGTTGTCATTGCTTTCAAACTTTAGCCCTTAAGATTGTTACTGTGTTTTCTTTGTTATAAATTAATATTCATATTTAGTAAAGTTTATTTAAACATTTTTAGGTAAGTGTTATAAAACTTTTTTCAAACAAATTAAAATTATATAGAGATTTTTCACATACATATAATTCTTGAATGATATGTGATACAATTTTTATATTAATATAATTAAATTGAATAAAGTATACAATATAAATAATGATTTATTAACTTACCAAGAATTCCTGTGCAACTTGTACTATTTTTATTTGCTTTTCCTGAGAAGGGTTCTTCTGGTGTATTTGCCATTTTTGTTGAACTGGGTGTTGAAGGAGGTGGAAACTGTAATAAAAATATTTAAAATTTTTTAATTTAATTTATAAAAAAATAATTTGTACAATTAAAATTATTCAACAATAATTAACTATAACTGCATCTTTCAATTGATTACCATAATTTTGTTCAGATAACCACTATATAGATAACCCTGTATTAATGTACACAAAATCAAAAATTGCTAAAACGCATAAAATCTTCATGTAATTTGCATCTCTGAAGAGGTTACTGAAAGCATGTTACTTAGCATGTACAGTTCCTTCTAAACTGCTTATTGATGCAGTTTAGAAGGTACATCTCAAACATTAAAATGTTGTTTTTTCTATTTCACTTCTACTAACCATTCATTTTAAATTTAATTATAAAATAAGTGAAATAGGATAAACAGAATATAAAAAAAAAACCCTAAATTTTGTAAATGTTGAAAATACTAAATTCCACCAAAACAATAAAACTATTTGTTTTGTTTATTTAATGTTTTTATATATCTTAAAAATAATTATGAATGCCAAATATTCTGGAAAAATGATGATAATGACATTACATTATACAGTTAAGCTGGAACTATTTTCTTTCTTTTAATGATTTTTAAATAAAAGTCTTAAACATATAATTATTTTAACCTTTAAAATTCACTTTATAGCAAATGAAAAGAGCTTTATAGAACACTAGCATTTCAATTACTAAGTCATGTTTCTTAATTGTCATCAATACTGACTAACTGATCATCAAAAATGACTTTGAAAAGCTCATTTTTCTTTAGAGACTGTAAATATATTATAATAGTGTAAAAGAAATAATTATTTTGTCATATCAGATAATTGTTATCAGATAAAAGTTTAAGAGCACTGTCTATCGGCATGAATAAAGTCTTACTTTATTAACACCGATAGACAGTGCTCTTAAACTTTTATCTGATGATAATAGTGTTACACCAAAATAAACTATAACAAATTATATACAAAAAATTTAATGACAATGAAATCCATTCACACAAGTTTCAAGGTCAATCACTTACTTTCTAAATAGTTCTGTGATAGTTATTATATAGAGTAGAAAAAAAAATTATTGAATAATTATCAGATTTTAAAATAAAAGTTCAAGTAGGAATATCAATGAAAGAATAGACTGATGCACAAAAAAAGAAATGAAGGAGAACTAAAGAAAAAATATACTTATACATGTCTTTAGTGTTTTTTGGGAAAAGCTGCAATGATAAATGAATTTCTGCAGCATGTGAAGTATTTTTAACATTCTCTAAAGATATAATTGTTGGCTTTAGATGAAAGAAAAACTATTTAACAAGTTTGTAATTGTGAGTTAAATTACAAACAACATGCACCCACTTTCAAACACAAACAGCACCAATAGATTATCAGTACAAATTATGGTAATTACATTATATAATTTTAGAATTTTGTCTATTTTTTTTTTTATAATTAAATTTACTAATTTATTCACAAAAAATTTTTTTTTATCTTACCATATCATCATTGTCATCAGATGATGAAGTATCAAAAATCTGTTCAAGATCTCTGTAAGTCCCAGTCACTTGTAAATCTTGTTCTCGAGTAAAACTTGAAACTTGGTTTCTTGGAGTGGGAGGAGATGCTACACTTAACTGCTCAGTAATAAAGTTTTGTTTAGGAATGTCTTGTGTAGTTGGAGGTGGTGCTTGAGCTTCAGGAGTTGGTGGCATTACAGAATCCTTTGGTTTCTCCTCTTCCTGTTAATAAAACAGGAAATATATATAAAAATTCTTCAAATTAGATTATTACAATAATGAAATCATTTATTTCAGCAATTTCTTTTCTGTCAATTACAATAGAAGTTGAAATTACAGTTTTTGGTTATATTCAAGCTTTACATGACATTAAATACAAATAAATAAAATTTCTCTCTCATGCATTTATGTGGATAACAAATTATTTTCTTTTTAAAACTCCTCTCAAAAAGTTTCATTTTCTAATTTTTACACTTTATTTCATTTGAGATTTATTTAATGGTAATTACTAAAAATATTTCAGCCAATATCTTTTTTCTTTCATCTGAAGAAAGTCTTGTGAAAAATTTTTTTTCAGTGCTTCAAAAAAATAAAATAAAATAATTGCCTGTAATCATTTTATTAGACTAATTAGTCATCCTTTCTAGTCAGCTACTGACAATGATATGTATATCATTAGTGGCTTCTGCCAAGAAGCACAGAAGCACATGCTTCCCAAAATAAAATTATTTGATCATTTTTATTAATGTATATAATATAAATAAACAAGGAAAATTATTTATTTCAATAATTTTTATAATACAGTAATCCTGAATCTGTTTTTCCTGGCAACTCTGACTTGACTGTTCTAGCCAAGGATGGGCAATCTTTTTAAGTGTGCATGCCAGAAATCATGTGCCAACTGAAACTTTTCGGAGCACATTACTATTTGATCTAGCAGCTAGATAATGCTATAGGAAAGTAAACAATTTAGCAGAAAATCTGCTAAATTGGCAAGATGCTTACAAGTCAGTGATAAATGTATTGGAAATAGGATATTTGTTTAATTTTTTATTACTTATTATTACTACAACAGTTAATAGTGTTTCTTTTCTTTATTGCATTTTTATTTAGTACTGCTCTACTAAATAAAATTATATTCTATTAAGTTAAAATATACAACTTGGCAAAGATGTCAAATATTTATTTTTTAAGGCAAGTCCAAGGTTGAGTGTCAGAAAAAAATTGTCAATGTGTCACATTTGACATATGGGATGAGGATTGCCTACTCCTGTTCTAGTTAATCACATTACAGATAACAATTTCAAACTCTCTTAATTAAACAATGAGTTCTGTGTCATGTAACATGTAAAACATACAAGTTACCCATATAATTTAGTCAACTAAATTTTAGGTAGAGCTATCTAAAACTTACTTAAAATACTGACTATAAAGATGATATTCATAAACAATTAAATGGTGTGTATCTTGAAAACATTAGCACTTATAATGAAAAGATAATACACATTATTAAATGTAATATATATCTAAGTTCTGTGAAGATTTTGAATTAACACTGTACGGACAAGATAAAAGTAATACATCACAGAATTAAAGCATATTTTGAGATTTACTTAACTTCATATCTGAATTAGATTCAATTTTATGAATTCATTTAAAAGAACCTCAAAGACGATTCAAAATAAGGTCTTAAAGCAGGGATGACCAATACGAGGTCCATAAGCCGCATGTGACCCGCTGGGAGTCATGTTGTGGCCAGCGGAACTGGGTCGAATGAACATAAATGTTAACTTTATTGTACATATTACCAAAAGAACATTACGTCATGAGTTATTCATATCATGTATTTTTAAATTATAGTTAAGAGAAATTTGAAATATCTCGCATTTTTGGAAAAGTTCATAGATTTTAGCTATTTCAAATATCCTGCTATTTGACACTCAAGGTTACTTAGTTTTTTGTCCGACGCTAGGTGTTGATAAAATTTAATATGAGACTTCAACTTCAGATATATATGTTCTGTGGTCTTCGGCATTTTTGGGAAGCTCATAATGCTATTGGACTCATACTCATAACTACTTTCAGTCCAGCTTGACAAAGTTCTGTATTATTCTGTAGTTTTGTTTTATTATTGCCACTGCACCTGGAAAGATTTTGCGATCAATGTTAAAATACATATTTTATCATATTTATAATAACAGTTCACACTACTTTAACCAAGTAGCCTGTCTACCATATTGATTCTATAAGTAAGTAAACCCTGAAACGTTTTATTTATGTAATTTAAATTAAAAAATGGAAAATTTTCTTTAGGCAATGACAAAAATTCAACTCAGGGTGACACACAACAGACAAAAATGTTTTCAGTTCAAAACAAAGACATAACATGGCGCCAACTAGTAAAGACATTGGACAAAGAAGAGAAGAATCACAGAAGAATTAAGAAATTTTCAAGATAGGTGGACTATAAACTATTTTTTCATGGAAATTAAAACAAAACCCATATGCTTGATATGCAATGAATCTGTTTCTGTTTTGAAAGAGTATAATATCAAACGGCACTACAAGACTAAACATGCAAATAAGTTTGATAAGTACAGGTAGTCTTCGATTGACGCTGCAGTTCTGTTCCTACAAAAGCCAGCGCAAATTGAATTGGTGTAAAACAAACCCATATTTACAGTGAGGTATAAGGTTAGGTTCTACATAAGTGAAAAATAAGCAAATAATTTTGTTTATCAATACAATATAATGCAAAATACATATAAATTTTAAAATTTTAAAATGTATTTTATCATAAAATACAGTAAAGTGAAATGTTTTTATTAAAAAATTTTATTTTCGGATCTCTTACATTTTTCAGAAAAAAGTATCCATCTTTAATTCTTTACATTTTTGTTTTCTTTCATTGAGAATTTCAGAATATGGTCGAATGAATGCGATGATGCTTCTTTTTACATTTGTACTTCGCTCCCAATCATTGTCTAATCCACAAAGTTCATCCGTCAAACTTTCCATAGTTGAAAGGATACATTAACCCAACGTAGAGCTACAGACAAGTGGAGACACTAATTGGTTTGACCACCGGTCGCTGTAGCACATGTATAAGGTAAGTTTGAGCGGGAAAATTCAAGGTGGCTAAGGAGAGATAGATATCATCTAGCTAAAAAAAAAAAGTATTGTCTGGCTAACGAGAAGTAGATTTGTCTCACTAACGATAGTTTATGATCACCGGAAGTGCTACTGCGTTGTAAGGTGTTTTCCTGAATGAACTGATACAGGATACATTCATTGGCGCTATGGATTCAGACGCCATTTATTGGACTATTAAGTTTCATAACTTGACTCATGGGTACCTAAACATTTAGTATTTTAATATTAATTTAATGCAAATGTATATATAACCAATAATATTAAACAGAAAAACTAAATATATTCAATAAAAATCTTTGTTTTAACGAATGTACAAGTTGTGGCTCAGTAAATACGTCAACACTGAAACGAAAATCAGTCTGGTATAGGGAAAATTGGGGAATTACACTACAAAACAGCAAATTGCGTAGCGGCGTAAACCGAGGGCTACCTGTGCAAAGGTGTACCTGTGTGGCAATTTCAACAAGACCAAGTAGATGACTTAAAAATAATTTTCTGTACAACAAAAGATATTTACTAGAATGGGTTCAGAGTCAACATGCTATATAAAAGCTAGTTGTGCAGTAGCCATGATACTAGTAAAAAAATCAAAGCCATAGTCAGATGATGAAATGGTTAAGGAATGTTTAGAGGGCATCGCTGAAATTCTGTGTCCAGAAAAGAAGGATTTCTCAAAAATAAGTCTGTCTCGTCAGACTATTACTAGGAATGTGGATGCCATTGGAAAGCATATTAAAGATAATTTGAAAAGTTGAGCATCCAAGTTTATATTTTATGCTCTAGGATTGGATGAAAGCACAGATATAGCAGATACTGCCCAATTGGCAATTTTTATCAGAGGTGCTTATATCCATTTTAAAAAGACAGAAGAATTAGTGGCACTGTATCCACTTAAGGACACTACTAAGTCACGAGATTTGTTAGAGGCAGTTACATCAACATTGAATCGCTTTTCGTTACAACTTAATTGATGGTGCTCCAGCAATGATTGGGAAACACGAAGGTTTAGTAAAATTGATTGAAAATGAGGCCTTCAAAGTCAGTAATATTTCAATGCTAAATTTTCATTGCATTATTCATCAAGAGAATTTATGCTCAGTCCCTCAAAATGGACCATGTCATGAAAGTGGTCGTCAAAATAGTGATCTTTATCAAGTCGAACAGGTTGAATCACCATCAGTTCCAAGAATTTCTGAAGTCATTGGACTCAGATTATGTCGACGTTACATTTTATGTAGAAGTAAGATGGCTGACCCGTGCCAAAATGTTGAAAAGAGTGGTTGATTTGCAGCAAGAAATAAGCATTTTTTGCAAGAAAGTCAAAAAGTATCCCAGAGTTTGAAGACAAAGAGTGGGTTTACAACTTTGCATTTCTGGTTGATATAACTAGCCACCTAAATTATGTTAATACTTGTCTACAAGGGAACGATCAATTAATTAATAAGATGTATGATCATATTTCTGCATTTCAAATGAAACTTGGTCTTTGGGAACAACAGTTGAGGATAAAAAACTTTACTCACTTTCCTACATTGTCATTGCAACCAGACATCACACAGGAGGTGGCGGATAAATATGCTTCTTTGATATCTCACTTAAATCTTGAATTTAAAAACCAATTTCAGGATTTTAAAAAACATCATGTGCTTTTTCGTGCATCTGCAATGCCATTTGCGGTAGACGAGAATTTATTTCCAGGAAGATTACAAATGGAACATTGTGAAATGTGTTGTGATACACAGTTAAAGGAGACATTCCATCAAGTTGGTTTGGAAGAGTTCTATAAAATGTATTTGGAAAAAGATAAATATCCTGCATTTTACAAACATGCTCTGTCAATGGTTTCGCTATTTAGAAACACTTATGCATGTGAACAACTTTTTAGTCGCATGAAGTACATCAAATCACAAGTGAGAACACGAATTACTGATGTTCATTTGGAAAACTGTTTGCGTGTAGTGACAACATCAGTTGAGATCAATTTTGATGTACTTATTTCTGTAAAACAAAGTCATATGTCTCACTTTTAAATATTTTAAAATTGTCTAATAAATATGTATGTCTCAGTT